ACCAGTTAATAAAACACAGAAATAATGACAAAGGAAAATTCGAAGAAATCGAAGAGCAAAGGCGAAACACAGAAAAAAGAAGAGACGAAATATACGAGACAAAGAGAGAAACGAATGCAATGAAAATGTGCTAAGAAAGGTGAAACAAGGGCGAGGAAACTGCGGTATGAAAAGAAAGCTGAAACAGAAAGTAGACTGCAAAAACACGAGGAAAACAAATAAAATAATATCTAATTATCATACCTGATTATCATAAACACTTTTTAAAACTTTTATTTGACTTTGGTTTTGCAAGGAAAGATCAAAGTTCAATAATGTTTTTAAATAAAGAGAGAGGTGCCCGCGGGTTCCACTAGTGGCGTGTTAAAACTCGAGTCTCGTTGCTAGGAAACTAGTTAATGCAGTTACTGAACAACACACATTCGCAGTTCACTTGTTTATTTTCTCTCCTCTTTCCATTACTTCCTTCAAGTACTCGGACCATTCTAACATTCTTCGAATCTGTGTTATTATTTTATAATCCACGACATTATAATCCTAACATAAATGCGCCTGTAGGCTTACATATTAAATATCAAAATTTACGTAGTCTGTTCCAAAAATCTAGATTTTTCAAGAGACTTGCCGGCTCTACCCAGTGCTGGAAGTGACAAAGTCACGTTTCATGCAAGTAATTACGAAACTTCCGCAGTTTATCAACTCCGCCCTCCGGCACTCCGTCATGCAACTCAGCTGCCTAATCACAATCTCAGCACAACATTCTCGTAATTCATCCTCAGAACAGGCTCGTTATCGAGATTCTAGTCAAGATATTTCTCACCTTCTATGGGACCCGAAGGTGCATGTTCGAAAGAGCCCGACGACGTTTCCTATCCTAACCTATATTAATATAGCACCGACTCTGCTTTCCTAAGACCTATTTTAATATTATCATTCCATCTAAGCACATGTCTTCAAAGAATACTCTTCCTGTAAGATTTTCTGTACAATTTTTATGTACTTCTTATTTAACGTACATGCGTGCTACATTCCCCACAAATCTCATCCTCATCTGATCATCCTAATAATACCTGGCAAAGAGTAGCCTACAAATTATGGAGCTCTTCACTGTGAGTCTTTCTCCATTCTTCTGCTATGTAGTCTCTTATGTCTAACTGTTCTCGGCACTTTTTCTCAAATACCTTCAGTCCGGACTGGTTACGCAGCAGCCCTGAGGATGAGAGCAGAGATTTTCCCTGTTGACAGAAGATATGGTTCATTCACCATTCATCCACGTGACGTGGCTTGTAACCCGAGAATCTATCATCAACTTCAGTAGCCGCGAAAGCTTCACTTTATACATGGAGACTTCTGTCCCACAGAAGTGAGAGGGATGGAGAAAGTGCTACAAATCCCACGGCTCGGTCTTTTTTTAACAAAACATTATTTATGGCCATCTTAAAAACGGGTGAACGAAAGTGTCCTATCGATTAAAGCATAAATTCATTAATTAGAAGCCCTCATAACGAGGAGTTATAACCTATTTACCATTAATCAACAAATATGACCACAAACAGATTAGGCAGTGTGGTTGAGCAGGACGACTGACCTGTGTACATTAACCCATTAATAATTAACTAGACGCCTTTTATGCGTAAGGACGCCCACGCAAGCTGACGGGGATTTCCTAAAAACGGGCAAATTTTTGCAGATACAGGCTAAAAATATGAATTTCCATAGGAAGTCAAGTTGACTGAAAACCCTTAGTAGATATTCTAACGCACAGATATCTGTTCCGAAATTTATAAAATGAAAATGTGAATGCTTTTTCCGCTTCGTTACTATATTAAGCAGAATATTCTAAGATTATAACAAAATGTATATTGCAACGTTGCAAATGTACTTGCTTTAACAACGTATATTTAAATACACAACGTTATAATTATATTCATACAACAGAGTCTTTGTGAGAAGCTAATAGTCTCCCAGCAAGTTCAGAATTTCCCCCTCCCCCCGCTCTTTTAATGAAAGTCAAAAATCCATTACCGTGTCCACAAGAACACATAAATTCACTGAACCGCGTCCTAAATCTGATTAATACAGTCCACATGATGACACCACATCTCAATAAAGATCCGTAAGTATCCTCCACCTTAAAGGGAGTAAATTCAAGTTTGCCGAAACGTTGGTCAATACTCAACATTCGACGAGACTCGCACACGAAAGCCAAAGTTATACACCGACCTCCCAACTGTGAAAGTCGAAGGACAAGAACAATACTGTGCAGTTAAGCACCTTTAAGTGTCTTCTTATGTTTCGAGTAATCGCTTAGAGATGGAAACTAGCAGTTTCGGTACGGCTCCGTTGCTCTAGTCACTTTGGTGGACCACCGGAAGCTTGAAACTGGGGCTCGGACACACGAAACGGTTTCTTTCGACAGTTTGGGTACAAGAATGTAAAATCAGACGTTTCAAAGCATGAGTCAGAGAGATGAAATTGAGATAAATATCTCTGCATTGACAATTTTCAGCTGCATTAGACATTCCTGTTTATTTAATATTATTAAACGTATGCAGATTTTATATGGATTAAAATTAATTAAAGATGTTTAGTGTAATATATTGGCGTTAAGTGAATTGAAATATTTACCATATTCCGGTGGAAATTTGTATGCTTGAATAGAGATAGACAAATCTGCATACGCTGTATTAGTTTCATAGAGAAAGAATGGCATTGATTTTCAATCACATTTGCTAATATCACTTCTGATTGATGTTGTGGTAACAGTCGCTTTATTGACGGTAGGTGACCAAGGAAAAACGTTCCATTAAACCGTAACTGTCAGCGCAAGATACAATCAGCAAATTTGTACGGCCACAGCAATCTAAATTTGGAGTGGGTTAAATCACAGTTGACCCTGAATGGATCAGAGGCTAATCCACTGCCATTTTTCATAATTCTTTACAATGATATTCTTATGGGTTTTGGCACCGTGTAGACTCGTCACAAACATTTCTCCGAAACGTTGGCAACTATTAACAAGTCGATACGGCGCCAAAACCTATAACATCATCATCATCATGAAACAGTGTGACAACGCTCGAGTTGCATCGGTTTCGTCGTTCAGGGAGTAATGAAGAAACCCTTCAGGCATTTCGAACAGCGTTGTAATTCAATTCGTGGATCACAATCAAGCGCGCCGTTTTGATCTAATGATCGGTGCAATTGCGTGTTTCAAACCGAGACTGACGTTATGGCAGCCTACAACGTGCAGATGAGTGGCAAGTAAGAATGTTATCCAGTCTGTGAAAATCTACTTACGGGATTTACGCTACTGTTATTAAAAGTGGAGTTTAGTTTTAGTTTCAAAACGTTCGCATTTATATAAATTATATAGACTTTAATAACGATATTGAATATGCAAAAAATTGGTCCAAGAACTCGTGTATTTTTATTCAGATTTTTTTAACGCAAACAGTTTTGGTAATGGGTTAGCTGAAAGAATTGGTAAGTAATGAAAATTATCTGTTGTACGGACATGAGAAAAGAAAGCTAAAATGCAAAACACTACAATTAAAATATTTCAAATAAATGTTAACCTACAAATGTAAGTACAAGGGACAAAGTTTTAAATTGTACGCTCCGCTTTAATCCCTGATAAAAGAAAAGTAAAATGAATTCTGCTGTAAGTAAAGACCTTACGTTCCTTTGTTCACTTTTAATTAGCCGTCTATGTGGACGTAATGGTGAGAACTCCTTGCACGCTAATTACAACTTCAACAAATTATTCTATCAAATTCGAAAAAGTTTCTAACAAGAAAAGTTTGGGATGCAATACAAGAAGCCATCTTGTCTTGTCTGGCGAAGTAGTTGTACTTCTAAACTGGGTTTTCAAAATTTGAACGAAACCTTATCAGTAACCTAACCTAACACGTGTAAAAGCTTTGTTTTGTTCTATGCTTAAAAAGCACAA